ATAGAAAGGCACTTTGTTCACAAATCAGTCGAATTCGAGAAACTATCGATCAAGTCCTCAATGATGATACTACACTGGCCGATAAAATTAAAACATTGTTCAGAGAACAAGGGATTTTAACCGCATTGGGATTCATTATATCGACTTTGACTCTCGCGTTAACCGGTGGCAGCGGACCACCCACACCACCTAGTGATAAAAGTGGTATAAAAAAGCATTTAAAGACATTAGGAGAAGCACTGGGAAAGCTCGCTGGGAAAGCCGCATCTGCACTACCCGGTATAATAGGGAGTATTGTTTCCTGGCTCTTGAATTTATTAGCAAAGACCACCACTTGGCTTTGTCAAAACTTGTGGGCACTGATCGTAGCAATTGCCGGGCTGTTGTATTTATCCGTTAAAGACTATTTATCCAAATCATGAGTAAACCAGCCGTGACTCCACCTACTATAAGTGCTTTTTTTTCATCGATATGTTGTTGATTTTTAGCTGCAATATGTGGTGGCACTTGTGGTTGTGCGTTAGTAGGAGTGTCAGTAGATATCTGTGGCTTGACTATTCCTGTTTCACCTGTGTTTGTTTGCGTTATTAATTCAGTGTTAATATCTGAATTTATACCTGGTTTTTGTTGATCGGTAGCAATAACAATTTTATTATTATAACCTATCACTTGGCCGATCTTAAGTTCCATATTACCCGGAGACATGTATAGTCCCAGCGCATAAACGTAGTCTACTTTGGATTGAGCGTTCTGTAATACATCTTGATAACACTTTATAGAAGATGGTATGTCAACTGGTGAATTAATAGCATCCTCCACGTTTGCGACAAACTGTTTTTGCGCATCGAGCGCCTTCCCAGAACCAATTATTCCCGTTCGTGTTTGCGATTGTGCACCAAGAATTGCCCATACATAAGTTCTTATTGATTCATTAACTCTTACAACTCCTGGGTTAGTAAAATTATTTTCTGTTTTATCATTAAGAAATTCATTCCAAGCATTTCCAGGTGGTTGCTCAACCTTTTGGACGGTGAAAGCAACACCAGCCTTAACGTTCATATGATCGTCTCTCCACTTGTTACTTGAGAGAGCAAAGCTCGGATGAAGCCGACCTCTTTTCAGTAAATCACCGCTGACTTCTTTAACAGAGTGTGCACCAGCGTACGGAACACCGAGACCATGGTTAACTCCACTCAGCCGCCAATCTTTACTCATAGAAACATTAAATTCCTGACAAATATGTTAGAATGCCCACCTATTGTACGATTATTTTTTAATTCCATGCTCGATCCTGCAGTAATGGGGCACTAATTTCTTTAAGAATATGTCTAATCTGATAGTACACATGAAATGATAAAACAGACTTATTTAGTTCAAATCCTGGGGCATAAAGAGATACACCACATCCTATGGCACCACCATCATATGGCAAAGTTTAACTGGTTCTGCCAAAATTGCATCGGATTGTGTAACCAATCGTGAACCATTTTATCACTAGTTGCAGTGAACCTGTATTTTTCAAAGATATCGGGGAATTTAACCAAAAAAATAGCACCAGAGGCACTTACTAAAATCGACTGATTAGTAATGTTAGTTGATTTCATATTTAAGTTATAATATAGTATCTTTGTATATTTAATATGTATGTCACGCTCCCAGGAATAACAAATAGTCAGTCTATTCAACTGCTTCATACTATCGATAACTCGGCTGGTCAACTTGAAGTTGCTATCTGCGATGTAACGTATTACCCGCGGTGGACCAATATAAATGATGCGAGAAATAATAATATGATTTATTTAGATAGAAAATGTTGCTTTATATCTGATGGGTATTACAGCGTATGCTCACTCAATGATGAAATTTTTAAGCCTTTTGGAGCTAGTCTCTCACAAAATGAGTCGAATGGGATGCTGATTTTAAGCACTGGAGAAAAGCAAATATTTTTTGAAGAGAGAACTTCACACATACACTTGGATTTGTAACCAGAGGAGGATTATTATTGGCAAACACAGCATTTCATGGAACTAAATTGCCCGATCCATCTTGTACATCGATCTTGATCAGATAAGTACGACGGATAATATTCAACTCGAAAGTCCTTCTACTCTGCTGAGAGCTATTCCAGTCAAAGAAGAAAAATACAATAGCGGTAGAACAGAATCTTTCTCATCATTACAATATACAAAATTGAAGCGGGGTATTATTTCAGACCTCAAAATTTCTGTATTAGATGTAAAACATCAACCTGTACATATAGGATACTTGAGTGTAACACTCCATATTATAAATAATGGTTGTTTCATCAGGCCCTGGAACACTCAGACAATGTAATACAATTGCGCTTTCCAGTCTCGGAGACACAGAAGGATTCGGTAAACCCGGTACTGATGGCAAGTTATACGCTTTACACTTACAAGATAATGTATACAAGCGGAAAGAAGTTGCATTCACAGGTAATCTAGGAGATTTAAGCTATGTCGACGTTAGAGGACTCAATAAAAACACTTTGTACAATCTTACTCGCAACGATGATAATAAATGGACTATGATCGAAGAAAAAATCGAGTGGCTATTGAATATCGTCATTACCCCACCATATGTGATGATGGGTAAGGGACATCAATAAACTAAGATAATAAATAGTGGGAAAAAGTGTGTTAGTCTCTCCCCTGCCAGAAAATCCAGGTCATATGTTATTTAGTTGTCCGGCAGTAAAAAACGATAGTTTAAATTTGGTTACTGAATTCAATGATAACTTGAGTGCAATACATAATCCTTCTACGCTTATTATTGAAGTCTTGTTTGGAGAGAACGCCTCCGTGGTCTAGTGGTAGAGCGTCCGCCCGGAGAGCAGAAGGTCCGGGGTTCGATCCCCGGCCGCGTCATACCAAAAGACGTTAAAAGATTGTACTTGTTGTTACCCTGTCTGGCACTCGGCATTAAGGGGCTATAACAAGGAGGTCTGAGTGGGGTATTCATGTTAAACTGCGGCATGGTATCTCAGTGAGCTAGCACTATAAATCGGCATCAGTCCGGACTAGTACAAGCATCCACACACACACACACACACGTGCATGCACGTTGCTTAATAAGTGCAATAATCTTGGACACAACGTTAAACCCAATTTCACCTCACCTCACCTTGTTTGGAGATGTACCGGTAGATGCCTTCATGATATTACCAGGTCAAGCAACATGAGCGTCGACGTTGTAGTATTATTTATGTAGGAGCATCACCCGTTGCAACCCTTGAGGGGTCCAAATTATTAAAAGTGATAGCATTTCTCTTTCTAAAATATTTATGCCGTATAATATACATTTAATAAGGCTGATGTATACTCTCAAAACATTGAAGCAAGACCAATTAAAGACTATTATATGATATAATAATATACATTATGGGTTTATATCTGGCGCTCAATGAAGCATCTGAAAAGATGGATACTGTTGATGGATTTCGATTACATCAAATAAGAGACATAAAACATCGAATAGAGAAGGAGAGGGAGTTGAGACTTGGATTGTATAAAAAGTATCGTAGAGCCGTGAATGCTCTCGACGGAGTTGAGACTGCGCTTGTAACAGCTGGCATGGGTCTCGGCGTAACCGGTGTTGGTTTATTCTCAAATATAATCGCCGCGCCTCTCGTACTTGGTATGGAAATAGCCGCCGGAGTCTCAGGACTGGCAGGAATAGCGATAAAACTTCTTTCTTGTAAGTTGCAAAAGAAAGCATTAAAACACGATAATATTAGGATACTCTCCGAAGCAAAGTTGAACCGCATTGAGGACCATATTTCAACAGCAATGGCTGATTATAAGATATCCTAGGAGGGGTTTCGTTTAGTTTTGTCAGAACTAACCAAATACAACGTAATGAAGCAGGAGATTCGATCCAATTCTCGTAAAACCAGTGGTATTAGTGAAGACGAGAAAAAAAAGTTCATAGAACAGGGGAGACAACAAGCGCGTCAATTATTCCGTGCCAAAACCAAAGAACTGGTTGGAGGTCAAAAATAGATTGCTTCCTATCGTTGGATCACATTTAAACGAATGCTTACATAAGTATATAATAATGGAGAATTACAAACCAACAAAGGAAGTTCTCGAAAAAGCTATCAAAGCATTTATGCTCAGGGACAAAATTATCAAATGGAAAGAATTACCACAAGGTATATATTATATCAGTGATGTCAAACCAACCAAATACGGTCATCAATTGTTTCGTTCCAATTACCAAGAAGAGTATATAGTCTGGTCTCCTAGTAAAATGAACAAAGAACTTACTAAAAATGTTGAATATCACTTTGTTAAAAATAATGGTATGCGTATGAGTAAAAATAATAGAGAATATTTTCATTACAATTTAGTTTAGTCTCATCATCGTTTTTGAACTAAAAAGTCCCTCTATGGTATCGTTGATTGGCTCCAGGTAGTGGTGAGCTAGAGCCAATTTAACTTAGTCTCATGACGATCATTGAATCCCATCAGCGTTTATGCATAAAAAATTCCCCCTGTAGAAGCAGTATAGGTATATAAATCTGGCTCCAGTGGGGGTTGCGGCAGAACCCCTATTACCTATACTACTCATACAAATTACAATTTGTTTTACCTTCTGGGTTATACAGGTCAGCTTTATGATAGGTAGGTATATACTAGTATGCTGCAAATCATGTTGATCCTCAGGATCAAAGTTGTCTTGTATTATTATAGTAACAAAAATTCAAATCGTGCTCTCAATTCACTCTTTATAATTTTTATACTGTCACATCCAACACATCAAACATAGATAAACATTGATCTAAACCTAAAACATCATGTATGTCATAGCTAAACATTCTGTCAGTGTTGTCCGATATATACATCTTTTTTATGTGCAGTTTGTATGAGATTACTTTGTAGAAAATAAACAAGCATTTAATATTATTTAACTTTTCATTTCTTTTGGCTGCACAATCCTTAGAAATGTGGAAAAACAATCTTTGTTCTTTGTTTCAGATGATAGAAGTGAATCCCTGGAAAGTGATGACAGTAGATCAGAACTTGCCAACTATTTGAGTCCACCAAAATGTAAACTGGCACCAATTGCATCATGTGAAACACTTTGTGATTCGGATGTAGTGGATGTGCCTGCAATAACTACAGATGACTCATCTTCCTCAGGTATTTTGTTATCCGACTTTGACATTGGAGAATCCACCCCAGATACTTGTGATAGCAGTGACAGTGAGGGCAAACTGGCTCCACCAACCCAAGTTTGTGGAATGGTGCTTACAGACAATTTGATTGCTGCCCCTATTACCAGCCCTAACACAGTCAGCTCTGCAGCCAGTTCAGACACTTTGACCCCAGGAACACCTAGAGTCAGTCCAATACCATCTTTGTTTGGGAGTCCTAAGAAGGCTACACTTGTGTATAGTATAAATGACAGACAGAGTAGCCCACAGAGGCGGGTGTCAAGTCCATGCAAGGTGACTGACTCATCATTCAATCTTGATGCTCTTACACTGTCCCCATGCAGTAGCCCAGTGCGACGCCCAGCTTCCTCCTCGCCTGTCCGTATACCTTCACCATTAGATTGTATCAAACATGGAAAAAGTCACTCTCAAGGTCCTTCACCTTGCCTGTCACCATCGGCGAGTCCAAAGTTGAGAAGGGCACCATCACCAATTAGCTACAGTAACTCATCACCAAATATCGCACCTCAAATTAAGATTCGACCATGTGAGTAATGTTAAGTTTTGAAGTTATATGATGTAACTTGTAACTTATAAGTTACACTTATTATATGCTCACCTCACCTGATAATTTGGGTTAGATATTGTCATGACAAACAACATTATCATACCTCCATGTCAGAATGATGAGATTTGATTGGTCCACATGATCTTGATAAAATACTCAGTAACCCGCCTTGGAGGGTAACAAATTTCTCTTGTACCCCGCCACGAGCAATACAGGTTGAACAGGAATTTCGGAAAAGCAGAATAAATCCCATATACCCCGCTTCAAAGCAAAAAGCCGCACGCTTTTGCCGAGTCAATGGAAGTCATGTGACATAGCACAAGTTAACCTCAGCTCAATCGAACAGCTGTTTTCTATCAATTTTTAATTTGTGTTAATTCTTTTACAATGTCACATTAAAATGTGTCGGCAAGATTAATTCATTGTAGACGGATCACTCAGGGTACATGAGGTTTTATGAGACCTCATTAGGTTTAATACCATTTGCCTCCAGCTCATGGTATAAAAACTAACACGCGACACATAAAATGTCATGCACCCCTTGTGATCCTGCTACAACTTATAATGTCTCATTGCAGTTCTTTTTAGTATGTTTTGCACTCAAGTGTAGCATGCACTTGAAGATTAAGACGTGTGAGATCTGATTATCTTAATTCTGACAGATTTATTTATATGTATATTTAATTTATTATGTTTTCACAATTCATGTCTGAAGATTTTCAAATTCAATATAAGTCAAAGATATTTTTCAGAAACCTCTGTGACAATATTTGAGACTTAATATAAAACTTTTTTATGTATAACTATTACATTTTTTTATTTGTTCATAAACCAATCTCAGGTCAGTTTAGTCGAAGATCTTATGACATTTGACCCAGTCAATATTGACAGATTCACAAGCTATGGATCTGTTATTGTTTGCATATGACTTGTCAAATTAACATTTAGTTGAAATCTCTCAGTACTGTTCTAAATCTACGACTTGTCTTCAAATGTCAAACAATGGAACTCACAAAATTATTTACCTTTCACCAGACCTCAGACAGACTGCAGAATAGTACAATGCATGAAGTACCTTTTTTCTGTACATGATAATTTTCTCTTATCTTTGTACACCTCATAATTAATTGTGTTGTCACATCTAAAAAGTGAATATCTACCCTGTTGAAATGATTTTCATTAGATGCTGGTCAGTTGACCCATGGCAGCATTTTGCATCTCACATCTCCATATATGTTGTTAAGTTTCATGGATGGGATGTCTACCCATCTCACAAAAAAACAGCTGCCTTAGTTGTACTTGTGTTAACAGACAATCACTATCCAACTTAATGTATACACTTTCAAGTTTCAACTGATTGAATTTGTTCATAACCCCTCGCACCTGATCCATAACAAAGGACTGGCACAGTTGATTTGTGAAACAAAAACGGTTTGGTTTTTTAAATTCATTTCCATAGTAAATACAAATTTGAGCAAAGTATTCATGGCTTTTTCAGCTTGTCGTGCTGAAGTATTTCTAGCTAAACATGATAACTTTGGGGTGAATAATAATCCCAAGTAGTTGTATGCTTATACAATTTCAAGTTTTTGACCTTTGTACCATAATTTTTCAGTTTGTTTGACAACTACTCCTGCAAAATACAATAATCATTGTTTTGTCTATGTTTAATTTCATATCATGTTTGTCACAAAAGCTTGCTTCACAATCAGTCTGTTTCTACAATCTACCAACAGCGTCACTTTCATTCACAATATCATCAGCAAACATCATCATCAATGTGCTAATATTATCAACTGACTCATTTACAAATATTCCTTTGCAGTTTTCTGATTGTATTAGTTGAACAAGATGATTAAGAAACAAAGTAAACAGTATGGGGCTAATCGTAAGGGTGTGCCAAGTACTGTAACCTTAGGAGTCGAGTAGTAAACCCTTCTCCCTTTTGGTCACTTGTACTTATCAACCACTTCTTGGTTCCTGGGATAATGTAGCTCTCAAAATCACAGGTCAGCTTGTTTGCTCAACCCTTCTTAATGAAGCCTGTATACTAAACATGGATGCATGGCTTAAGTAGAACTGCCTTCTTGTTGCATTCACACTTCCACAGTCAGATAAACGTAAGATATGGTTCGTCCATAAGTTCTTTAAGTCTTGATTTCTTCCTATGGTGAGTCTTCATGAAACAAATTGTCTTGAGCATTGGCACAAAAGTCTTAAAAGCACACTGCCTCTGCAGACTCTCCTCCTGTCAGGAACCACAGTCTCACTTCACTGTAAGTTGTCTCGCTCCTGGTCTTCATGAGATGAGCATGGTACGGTGAGCTTAAAGCAACTCAGCCATATGTAACCTTAGGAGTCGAGTAGTATACCCTTCTCCCTTTTGGTCACTTGTACTTATCAACCACTTCTTGGTTCCTGGGATGATGTAGCTCTCAAAATCACAAGTCAGCTTGTTTGCGCAAGTCCTTTTTATTTATGTTGAAATTAATTATAAATATACACACATAGTCCTCAGATATTTTCTTGTAGCCTGTATAACTTAAATACAACACATACCTAAAGGATGCATTGAAGAGCCTGATAGCATTTCTGATCCACTGTTAACTCTAATACTTTTCTGACCCGGAATTCCAATCTACAGAGAGAACCTCTCTGTTCAGCTGTGAGTTTCCAAATCCCCGCACCGCTCCCGGACAACTAACAAAATACTATCCCTGATAATTTTAACTTCTTCCCCTGAAATAATATTTGACATCATGTGAAATGAGTCCTAAGCTCACCTCCATATGAACCCCAATTTCCATTGCAATCAGTTGTACTCTTCTGACTAAACCGACTCAGTTAATTCCCTAAATTCATCAGTCAATTGAACATAGTTCATGAACCTAGGATGAAAGCCAGATACTATGTCAAAATGGTATTTGCCAAGAGATCCTTTATCAGATTCCAATCAAGCAATATTCATACAATATTTGGTCACTTCAAGACTGATTGTCTATTCAATCTTTTCATTTGCTCTCTTCTACTTATATTACAAGACCAGATCCTGCTAATTCCCTTTTACCGATGAGAAGTTGTCACTAAGAGAAATAGAATCAATAACCTTTTGACTTCTTGGTTAAAGCCTCACCCAGTACACTCACCTCTCACATGTCCATTTCGTATTTTAACCTAGAGCCTAATCGAATTTCATAAACCACATTTTAAGTTAATATTAAAAACACTTTTTCCAAAATACCCTGGTTATACCACAGTACAATCAAAGTATTTGGATAATGTTAATCTGTCTACTAGTAGTTGTACTTACACTGCTACGAACAGACAACATTAGGTCCCACAAACATATGTACACTCTTCAAAAAAGGAAACTCATAGGAGATAATGATAATGTTGATTTTGTTTATTCATGAAACATTCAATACAAATGCAATACTTTTGATTCAACGATGTTTAGCACATGTTCAAAAACTGGCGTAGTGCACAAACGCTACCATCTTGAACTCTGGTAGCTTTATACAGCAATTTTTATAAGACTGCATGAATATGTCGTGGAAAGGGATTAATAGCAGCATGCACATGCAAGTTGTGACAATCATGTGTAGTGACAATGACTATAAAAAGTCAAACGTCAGTCAACATTTTGTCAAATTATTCATGTAATTACACTGTCTGGCTATAAAAAGTGTTCTTTGTATATCTGGACTTTTGTTTGTAACTTATTTCATTAATTTTATTCAAAATTCCTTTTAATATTGTTTTAATTAATTTCGGCGAAATCGTGTGTGAAGCGATCGGAAGATCGCACAACTCATCGTTATTAACAGCAACCACGGTCAGATTACCGCTATTGACGCCTTGAAACGAACTTTAGTTGACAGAGAATGGATACATATAACATAAATGCCATACTTTGATTCGTTAAAAGTCATATTTTTTGTTGTTGGACGATTCTATGTCAACACGTAATTCTCGCGATCACGCGGTCACGTGCACGGGAGCCTTGACGGTGACTGGTCAGACTGGTTCCATGTAAAAAATAATACCCGGCAATAGCGATCAGCTGCTTCGCTTGGGGTTACTATTATTTGAAATATGTTTAGTAAAAGCTGCATCTAAATTAACAAGATATTGGATTATATTATTCCTGATAAAAAAATAGTTTCAGATACAACTTTTGCCGATCCTTGCATTTAAAATCATGTAACGTTATATCATTGGATGTGTCTTGACCGAATCACCGATAGATTCCAAGAAAACGTGTGTACAGCTGATTGCCGTGTCCGGCTTAGTTTTCGAGAAAATGCACAAGGTAATCTTAATAACTGGATATAAAACAATGCCTAGCTGAACAAAAAATACAATTTAAACGGTAAATCAACATGTCTGGTGATTTTTTTTATCTCAAATTTCGAATTTGTACTGACAAAGTTTCTCATCACCCGTTCGTTTGCCGGACTTCGCTGAAGGGGTACGGTGTAATTTTTTTTCTGCGCATAATATTCAAAGTCAGAAATATCTAAAATAAACAGAATACAGTCATGACCCGCTTATACGGACTTCAAATATACGGAAACCGCGGTTCACGGACGATTTTCATTTAAAACGAAATAATTACTATAGGCCTATAAATTTTCGGAACCGGGAGAGGGGGGGGGGGGGGGGGGGGCCGGTGCGCTTAATGGGTCGAATACGGTATTTGTCGAAACCGCGGTTCACGGACGATTTTCATTTAAAACGAAATAATTACTATAGGCCTATAAATTTTCGGAACCGGGAGAGGGGGGGGGGGGGGCGGTGCGCTTAATGGGTCGAATACGGTATTTGTCCCTGGTTTGCATAGACGACAACGTATGTGATGGAGCAATATCATACAGGCATTGACTGAGAAACTGAATCATGATTTCTTCTCCAATGCTGAGTTGGAAGACTGCGTGTCTACCGTTGTCGAAATGAATGTTTTGCACCAAACTGTGTTC